AAGGACTTTTGAGAACAACGCTACCAAACAGGATGGCTCACAAATTCACCTGAATTATGCTTCCAAACAGAGGCCAAAATTCATCACGCACACACATATGTACGGTCAACACACATTAAATAGTTGATTAGAAGTTCAATTAGGTCGTTGATTTAGTTCAGTTTGGTGTCCAAAATTAAGACTCCAAATTCCAGCACAGAGTAGAGTATTCACAAAGGTTAAACTTATAACCAAGAAGTCAGTCTCCCTATGCTCTTTCAGCAGTCAGTGGAGAGAGACCAGTCACCCTTTATAGGAGGTTGTTTTCTTCCACCGAACAGGAGAGGGACAATAATGGAACAAACCTTTATCTCAAGTTGGTAATTCTAACAGCCATTTTTTCACATGTCAGATTTTATATTTCCGTAATTGGCAAGGAGTAAAATCACTTCTGCAAATTACAGCCTTCCAAAAACCATGTTTGCCACTTTGGAAATACAGACCTAATTTTTTCCATTTGATTAACTACTGCATATAGTCTCACTACAAGCAAATGTCTTCACATGCCCCTTGTGAACTGTTATAGATGCGTTATGCAGAGATGGCTGCATTTCATATACACACACTTTATAAAAATAAGTCCTGTTTTTCATCTTATTTACTTTTAACTGCAGAAAAGATGACAACTGTAAGCCACAGGGAAAAAAACTTTCCCTTTATTATTAGTAATAGTATTCAACGCTAATTATGGCTAAACACTAGTAGCTGGCAGTGCAAAACACTCGTTTGGGAGACAAAACTCATTCCTATTCCAGGGAATACTGGAATATACTACTCCAGACTACAATAGCAGAGAAACATCTGCCAGCTCTTCTTGAACTTTTTCTGCACTATTACTCCCTCTTTTAGGCACTGTTTTACGATACTGATTCTGGTAGGGTATTTAGAAGGGAATCAACTCGTAACATCAGGTGAAAGAATTCCAGAATGGCAAAATACAGTATTGCAAATACTAAACTTGTTGCCAGAGCTCAGAGGTAGATATTTGTGTGACGTGATCTATGAACTAACAGTTTACTATGTCAAACCACTGTACCGATTGCTAAATTAACCAATTACACCAAGCAAAAAATAAAACCGCATTAAACAACAGATGGTATCTTATCAATTTGGCTACATCCAAGGAAAATAAACTAGTAAGAACGTACATAATAAACAGTAAAAGTATTTATAGGCAAATTATCACAGTAAAAGTAGAACTGTCCAGGTTCGTTTCGAATTAAAAATCCTACTCTAGATGTTTAAGACTTGCTCAAAATTGCAGCTTGCATCAAGACTACCAAATAAGAATGCTTTCGTAATGATCCTATGAATATACAGGACAGGTGAAATCCAGGAAAAATAGATCTGCAGTTGCAACTTGCTGTCAGTCAAGTTTTTTTGACCCTCGTTCATTCAACTGAATGTTTCAACTGAAACATCTACAAATCCAAGTTTATGCAGCATTCAGCACTCCACTACAAACAAGAAGGTATTTCAAAGGAACTGCAAATCTAGCACAGAGATTCTTCTTGAGCTAAATGCAATGCAATCATAACTGTGTTGTTTAAGTGAATATTAAGCCCATTCAATCTGTATTTCTTGTACAGTTTTCCAATTTACTGTAAAACTTCCCTGCACTAAAAACCCTTACTATGTCACTGAAATTGTCAGAAGTAGGAATGGAAAAACCTGTAGTTTGGTATGGCTAAACTGTGTCTAAAGGAGGCTTCTGCCAACCCAGAGCAGAAGAAAAAAAGGCTAGAGTACAGCACAGCGCAAAGCTCTTCTTGTAAAACAACAGCTCTTGAAAATTTTAACACATATATCAATTGCCAATACCTTTCACAGACCTATGCAACCGAATCAAACAGCAACAGTTCACACGTCTGAGAATTACTGGAGAAAGACTTTATTCTTAAAAGCTACATACTCTTACTCCAAGGGACAATTTGAGCACAACAGTTTAAGAGATTTCTCTAATCGAACACTTATTTTCCTATATATTACATGTATTCCTATACATGTAATTCCTATGTTTCCTATATATTACATATTACATCCTATCAACATGTTTTGAATAATGAATAGTTAGAAGCTGATTTCTATAGTTACTTCTATTAAGAATGGCTCTTTTGTGTTTGTATTCACTTTGCATTTACATTCACCTAGGAAACGTCTAGTGTGCCCTTGTGTTTGCTACTCACAATATATATTTTAAGAAGACATGTCAATCC